GAAAAAGAAAAAGAAAAAAGAAACATCTCTAGGATGCTGCACTGAACAATCAGGTAAATTAGGGTGTATGTGATTTTTCTCCCAGTGGGGCAGAGTCGTAGCTAATGTTTTTTGTTTTGCAACGTCCAGATGGGGATACTGATGGTAAGCTAGGGAGGAAAAAAAGAAAAGAAAAAGTCATGCATTACTACTTGGATTCTGTTTTAGAAAAATGTCTTGTTTGTCCCTGTCCATTTTAATGGGGCCCCTAGTACAGCAGCAGGAATTAATGATTAAATAATTATAAATCATATTTATCAGCAGCAGCAACAGTGGAGAAGGGGATGAATATTTTCATCCCATGTTTTCCTGTTGATAATAATAATAATAATAATAATAATAATATAATACCCTGCCCCTCTATTAAAAACAATTGGGGCAGCTTACAGCAATTAAAATTAAATGATATCCCTGTTAAAGTTTCACTGGCCTTTATACACTTGCTCTACAGATCATCATAATTACTTTATAATTACTTTATAAAAATACTAAATTTTGAAACATTCTGTCACAGGACTACAGCTAAATTGTTGAGTATCTGTTCATTAAATTAAACCTCTGCCATCCTTGAAATTGATATGTATTACCATAATGGGTTGATTCCATTTTCTCTGTATAGCTGTAATATCTTATATCACTTTGTATGTTTAGCTTTCTCTTTTTTAAAAAAGTCACAAATTTGGACACCAGAGGACTATTTGTGATGCTGGCTGAAGGACAACACATATACATACCCAATGATACTATCTACTAGCTGAATTAAAGAGGTGCCCTTCCACCAAGATTTTCCTATGTATCATTGCCTTTCTTTATTGCAAAATGTCTGAGCTATATAAGTCTCCTTGGAGAGGGGATGGAGAGCCTTCTCCATACCTACAGCATTCTCAAATAGATCTTGTTTTCTTTGCATTGGCAACAGCAAGGAAAGTAATGACAATAAAATGAACAGAAAATTGAAGGCCAAGGAGGCGAAGTTGGTCGCATGCTGTGCTCCTATTTTAAAAGATGCATTTGTAGTAATACTGACCTGCAGTCATTAAGGAAAACAGTGTACTGAACCAAATATCATTACCTTGCCCACTAATAATTTAGTTTGCCGTGAAAGCCATCAGTCCCTTAGTAATGGACAAAACTATGCCATTATTTTATAACCAGGGCTTAATCTGATTAATCATACTGATTTCACCACCGTGACCCTCTGTTCTCTCCTTCTAAATATTAACTCCCATTTGAATGGATGTGTGGTACAGAATTGTAGATTGGAAATGGAGGTAAAGCTCTCTTTGGAAATTTCTTTATTGTTAATAGTTTTCAATAGCATTTTTCAAAAATCAGACTTTGCATTTAGAAAATTTTACAAATTCTAAACTGTATGCGTCTTTAAGCCAAAGAATATTTATTGTACTCAAAAGAGGACAAGAATATTTACAGTCCTCAAAAGAGCTATGCTGGAAACAGTGATTTCAGATGGTTCATCTATTGATTAGCAGAACTGAAGCTGTTGAAAATTATTTATCAGACATTCCTTTCTAAACCAAATAATGGTTCTAATTATCATAATACAATAATGATACTTCTGTAGAATGGGTTGGTATGCAAGTAAGTTTATAGAATAAAAACAGCCAAAATATGTGTTTTATTTTTTATTTAAAGTACCAAATGCCCAGCTCTTCTCCTTTTTCTAAGTGCTTTGATTTTTTTTCTAGAAATGTAACAACACAGCTGTTAAAATGCATTCCACAGATTCTAGTAATAAAATAACACTTTATAGGCAGCACATGCTCAAACCAGTGGCCTTCATTTTTCTCTCTGTAAAGCATATTTGCTAGTCTTGCTTTGAAGTCAGTAACTAACAAACATGCTGTTCATGTCCAGGAAAGATTGCAGTTCAGCTTGCAATGAAAGAAAACACCAGTTGTGTCCAGTAGAAGAGGACTGCTCTCTTAAGTTGAATTCCAGGAATGAACTTCTTCCCAGTCCAGAGAGGATAGGAGATGAGGGAAATAGGATAAATAACTGCTAAGTACAATCCAGTAGTCACTTGACTGTGCAGAACATATTGTGTGCTTATTTCAATACAAAACCAAATATTTTATGATTTATTGAAGCAGAGCATTTCTACTTCAAAAACAGAATAGTATGACAATAAACATACACACCAGCTTAAGTCTGGTTCCAACAATTCAACTACTATAACCTTACAGTAGCTATAGACTGCTCTGATGTGGGGAGGGGGAAGTAGCTATCCATCTCAAAACATTATTTTATTCCATATTAGTTTTAAGTAATTTTATAAAGTCCTTTTCATGTAAGCAGTCCTCTTTTGTTGTCCTCTTAGGGTTGTTTTCCTCCATATTCTCTGTTACTATGTCTCAGTACAACTCTGAAGACACTGGAAATAGCTTGTGGTTCTAGAAGTTATTCCATATTGGAACACTTTTAAAACTGTATTAAAATATGCAGTTTGAGTTATTTTCAGGTAATGAACTCATCAATTCTAAATTCTATGTAATGAATGGTACCCTGAAGTTTCGTTTCTGTTATGTGATTGAGTAAGTATACAATAAATATATTTAAATTCTATGCTTCAGCAGATTTTTGAGAGAGAGACTCAATTAAGTCCTTATAAATAGCAGAGTTCATAAACCGAGGGTAGGAGTCTCTGTGCATCAAAGTGTAAATTTGAAGCTGTGCGTCATCAAAAGTATGTTGCGATGGTTCTAGCATGTTCCGGTTGATAACTTCCCTTACTCTGGAGTCGAGGCTGACCTGTGAATAATGGAAACATTTGTCAATGGCACACAAAAACACCATTCTCTACTGCAAACCATGGAAGAGATCTCATATGGTCATAATGGAACTAAACTACACTGGTTTAACTGGAACAATTCAAGATCTGTTTCTTTTCTGAGCCTTTGACATGGATACACTCCTGTCTCGACAGTCTTTTCTTAGCCTAATTTTTTTTTTAAACCCACAACATTCAGTGTTATTATTTAATGGGGAGGGAACAAGGGTCACAGACAAACAATTCAACAATATTGGTTAAAAATAAACCTTCATATAGTTTTGGACTGTTGTATTAAAAGCACTGCTTTGGCTATACACATAAGCACCAGAGACTAGAGAAATTCACTTGGAATCAGTAAAGCCTGTGAATATGCAAAAAGCTTCTTGGTGTATATAAGGTAATGGCAAATCCTTCCTTCTGGTAGCAGCTCCGCACAGGGTAGTTTGGAATAGCCCATCGCCTTTAGGAAGAATTTTCCTTTGGATCATATGTCTTTGATTCTGCCACTACCTTTGTGCTAGGAACCAAAAAGGATTCTCCAGCATTTTTGACATGCTACAGTGCATGGATGGTGGCTGCTGTGTTGCCTGCATCATAGCCTGTGAACGGGACTAGCATGGTGCCTTAATAAGGCAGAGCACTGAGAGTGGTAAAGCTGCTGCTTCCCAACCTGGTTTGGCAATGTCTTTGCCATTCTGGAGTGCTGGTCATGATCTATGAAGCTCTTCAGAGCCAGCTCCCAGTGAAGGAAGGAATGGCTCCAACATAGCAATTTCTCTAGCAGCCTCTCCCACTATCACAGAACCTCTCCCACTACCACAGAGAATTGTGCTGTTGACTATGTAGTTCTGAAGAACTACATAGCTATGCATATAGGAAGCAGCTGATGATGTCAGGAATGCAAGGGCTTGTGCTGTTATTCTTGTCTCATTTCTTCTGAGTCACCATCTTTGCATCTTCCTCTTCTGCATCCTCTACCCTCTACATTTGGTAGGCAAGGGAGCAGGACCCATATTTTCCTTTTTTGGCACCCACTGTCACATCACACCTGTGCCAGTGTGTGAGAGAGTTAGTATTTTGATTCCTACTTCAGTTGGCAAGAAAGCTTAAGCCACCCCATTTGTTAAGACCTGTATTCTAAGTAGAAGACAAGTGCTATATGCCACACAGCCTCTGGGTAAAAAATGATATATGAAAGTAGAGTGCACAAATGGGCATGTTATGAGACTTGTGCTCATTGGCTTCTGAACCTTTCCTATTCTATGGAGTCAGAATTTTTAAACAAGGTAATATTTCAAGAAATATATACATCTCACTACTTACTATATAGTAAGAAAAAGGGGATGCAGGATTCTCTTCACTCCATCACATAAGGTAAGCTTTTTAGTCATGTTATCTTAAAAGAAACTATTACAGAAGAAGAAGAAGTGGTCTTAAAACAAACATTCTTTTTAAACCAGCATAGAAACATCTTGGAGTATTCAGTGTCTCATCTAAGATCTTTGATTTGGTTATTTTTTAATTGTAGCTACTGCAAAATGTTACAAACCTCTTTTGGAGAGAGGATGGAAATATAATCTTCATATATAAGTCTTGCTTTCTCTTCAATGACACTCTTATTGGATTCTCGCTTTAGGTCTTCACAGGCCATCCAGAAAAGCATGTTCTCTTCACTGAATTCTGTCCGAAGGAACTCCCTGAAAGCATTTCTCCCTGCTGGTGTTCTCATCAGTTTGTCAAAGGATTGGGACCAAGTGTTCACTTCTTCCAAAGTAGGAGTGGAGCTTTAAGAGAAAGGAAAACATGAGAGCAGGAATTACAATCAAGCCATGTGATGATTCATGGAAATGTGGAAATTACATGAAATCAGTGCAGATTGGAGGCCTCCCCATATTGTAATAAGGAAAATGTGTCACACATCCCCCAAATGGGTAAAGGCTAAAAGCTTCACTACTCAGCAGGAAGCAGAGATAATCTGTTTATGAAGAAGTTCGATATGTTCTGTTGCAAACTTGTTATTGTGTGCCTTCAAGTTGTTTTTGACTTTTGGTGACTCTCAGGTGAAGTTTTCACGGGGTTTTCTTGGCAAGTTTCTTCAAAGGAGATTTGCCATTGCCATCCTCTGGGGCTGAGAGTGCGTGACTTGCCCAAGGTTACCCAGTGGGTTTCATGGTTGAGCAGGGATTTGAACCCTATTCTCCAGAGTCATAGTCCAATGCTCAAACCGCTACACCACACTGGCTCCCATCTATTGCAAGTACCTTGGGATAAATGATCTGCATCCCTTTGTATAGCAATATGTTAATGCAGGGGTAGGCAACCTTTCTCCTTTAAGGGCCGAGGGACTTCAGCTCCCAGAATCCCAGGAGCTATTGGCCAACATGGGACTATTGGCCAACGTGGCTGAGGCTTCTGGGAGCTGAAGTCCCTCGTCCCCTCAAGGGGAAAGATTGCCTACCCCTGTGTTAAAGGAATAAAGAGGATAGGTTTTCAGAAAAGAAGTCCCTCACCCTACCCTTTTTGCCATGTTTTCTTATGAACACTGCCTTGTGAGGAAAATATAGCAGTGCAGACTGAATTTTCTCAAGCTTTGTGGAGAAATATCTTGGTAGATAAAAGAAATACTTGCATTAGATGTACATGTTGCCTAAATACATTAAAAAGGGTGGACTCGTTTTCTGTACAAGCAACGATCCACCTCAAGCTACAGGATTCTAGATGGACAAGGGCTAGATCTCCCAGAGGACCTTCTCTGCAACCGCTCCCAGACTTTGGAATGGCCTGCCGGATGAGATCCGTCTTATTACCACTCTTACTGCTTTCAAGAAAGCAGTAAAGACGGATCTCTTTCGGCAGGCCTTCCCGGAATAACGGTCGGCCCACGGTTGGGCCCCACAATCTGACTCCCTGGGTTATAATTTGTTAATTTGTTTTAATTTGTTTTAATGTTGTATTTTTAATTTAATACATGGTTTAATCTTATTTTAAGGGGATGGGGGGGGGAGGGGTTGCGGGAAGGGGAAGGGAATGTTTTAACTATGCTCTGTTTTAACCTTGCTGTTCCCTGCCCCAATTGCTCTGCAGAGGGGCGGGTTATAAATAAAAATTATTATTAAATTATTATTATCTTAAGTTTTGTTTTTTTTAAAGTTCTGCAATAGATATCAATAGATGTCTCCAGACAGTGTCAATAACTGCAATAAATTCAGACATTGTCTAAAGACACTGTAAAGCAGAAGCAATCTAGTTTCTCATGCAGCAAATAAGTAAAGTAGCAGTTGGGGATTTTGTCTCACATCTTACGTTTCACAAGAGTTAAGAGAAGTGCCTTTAATTTTTTAAAACAAAGCTGAGAATCTGAATATTTGATCCCCCACCTTTCATTCAAAAGCCATAAATCCTGTTGGTACTTCCTACCTTTCTTCACAATTTGCAATAGTTTCTGATCTGAGTTCATGTGATGCTGCTCTTGCTCTTTCTTCTTGATTCCGAACAGTAAGACTGCAAAGTAAAGAAACCTTAGATTGATTAAGCTGAAATAATAATTTCTTGAAGTTTTGAATTTTCTTCCAGATTTTATGCCTACTGATGTTGGCACCAATTGGCCCTCCAGGGACAGGACATTCCATTAAACAGCACAGCAGAGAAGGCCCTTCCCCATGGGTCCATGCAATGTAGATTCCTACCAAATCTCACCTGCTTTAACACTCCTGCATCACATACCCACCCTCTTTGATGAGATCTGAGTTTAACAATTCCAGATAAAACAATAAAATAATTTAAATAGGATCAAGACATATTTGTACAGATCATCAAGTTAAAACAGCAGAAAAGGCTAAAACAGGCTAAATCATGCACATATACAGTTTTTATAAAGATAATGCACCAAAGCCACGTGTTTAATTTGACACCTAAAAGAAACCAATGTTGGCACCAACTGGGCCTCCTCCAAGCTCCAAGTATCAAGGTCCTAAGCTAATTAGTTATACTTAATGGGAGTATCACATGCTTAACCTCCTCCAATAGTATTTGGCCCTTGTAATGTTAAATGCTGTGGATTTGTGTTTAAAAAAGAAAGTGACAAAAGAAAGAGTTTTGCTAAAGCTACTTATTGCTTCCTTCGGCAATGAAATTAGCAGAAAATTACATCTCTACTCTGGGAGAGTTTCCATACTACTTGGATCAGCTGCCACAAAATCAAAAGTGGATTTGCTGACTCCCACAGCAAGGAGTACACCAACCACCCTGTCATACAAAGTTTATTTTCCTCTACATTACTTTTATCTCCTTAGAAGTAGGCCCACTTGAATTCAGCAGGACGTACATCTGGATAAGCATGTAGAGGATTGTAGCTTTAGCTGTCACTGAATTGCAGCTGAGTCTGCAGTTCTTCTAAGTGTATGGTGCTAGCTTTCTAGGATCAAACTCAGGGGTCAGAATTGTATGGCTCTTCAGTGTTGAACTGCAGCTCCCAGCATTCCTCACCTTTATCTGTGCTGGCAAATGGTGTCTGTGAATTGCAGTCCAGCAACAACTGGAAGGCTGCACAATTTCCACACTGGCCTAAATGTAATTTTTAGTCCTCATTAGAGTAGGTTCACCGAAACAAACAGAACTTACATAAATGTTAACCTAACTATAGTTTAATGGGTTGATTCAGTTGGTCTGCTCTAGAATCACACAGTCTCAAAGCTGGAAGAGAATGAAAGGGCTACCTAGTTCAAGACCCACCTATGCAGGAATACACAACTAAAGCACACCTGAAAGAAGTGCATTCTGACTGAGACTAACACCTGGATTTAGGGCAATATTTGTATTATAGGTTTTCCCTCCTTGCATTTGCTCTCAAAAACCCAGGACCAAAGCAGATGAAAAATCTTATTGGATCATTTCTCTTTGGCTCATATGTTTACTTTAAATGGCATATGTTTAATGTTTTTCTCCAATGTCATTTTATAAATATGCATTTATCTAACATTCATTCTTTCTTTCCAACTAACATTTCCAACTAATCACACTGAAACAAAGTTCCAGAACAAGTACGGTATCTGTAGTGTATGTAGACCTTGGCAAAGTTACTTTCTGCACTACAGTACCCATAGCCATACTGGCTGGGGAATTCTAGAAGTCTAAAAAAGTATATTTGCAAATCCCTGTTTATAGCCAGCCCTTCATACACACACTGAGGCTATTAAAAGCTTAGAAGATGTAATGGTTGAGATGAGTGATATGATGTATCCAGCCTTCCAGATTTTGATGACTTGCTGTCTATGGATCCTGGGAGATGCAGTCCTACAGCACTCGGAGGGCCACCCCATTCCACTCCTGGTTTAGATAAGGAAAGGAGCACAATATTTCTGTTATAATCAAAATGAGATCTGCATCTAAAATAAATGAAGGTGGAAATTTCCATCGTAGACCTCTTGTGCTATGTCCTGAAACAGAGATCTTTGCCTCAAGATGCTAGTTCTTAAGACAACAGCTTGCCCACGGCTGTGCAGGGATCTTCATAGTGGGATACATATTGAAAATGTGTTTCTTTGAACTACAACTGACAGAATCCCCCAGCCAGCATGGTCCACAAAAGTAACTTTTCCAAGCTCTGAGCTGAACAGCTACAGACCTGGAGTTTCTGTGTCTAAGAGGTCCATCTGCTGCTCCACATTTAGACTGCTGTGGCAAATCCATTTGTGACACCTTGGGGAAATGAGTGCTGGCATCTGAATATTATAGTGTGAAAAACCATCTAATGAAATTGTAAAGTTCTTCAGCACGAAGTCTTAATTAGGGACATGAAAACCTCTCCAGATTGTTATTTCTGAGTTTCTCAGAATCCTTGCTACAGTTTCCTCCCATCCTTATCCTATACTCATTTGCTAGATTTTATGTTTTCTTGCTGCACTGAAATTCATGAAATATTTTAGTAACATTTTTCCTAATTTGTGCATTTGATGGGTTAGTCAACAGAGAAAAGTTAATAATCAAGAGAGAAAGGCTGATAATCCAGGCTTGCTGACAAGTTTGACCCTGGAATAGGGATGGAAAGAGAGTTGATATTGTTGGGAATCAACAATATTTGAAATATTATCCAACCCTCCCTTCTGACACACATTTCTTAGGTATCAGGAAACCCTGACATGGAGAATCCTTGACTGATGAGAGTCTTCTCAGTTTGGGACAAAATTCACCTGTGTGTAGAGGGGAGGAGGTTGTGCAGAAAACAACACTTTCTATGTAGAAAATACTGTTTCTTGTGGGAAAGGAAAGTGCTATTTTCTATGTAGAAAATGCTTTCAGTGTAAAAGTATGCTTTTTATGCAGAATAATTCCTGAATAGGAAGCAACAAGCAGCTTTACCAATTTTCTTCTTGCTGTAAAAACCTTTTTCACAGCAGGAAGAAAAGTGCTAAAACTACTTGTTGCTTCCTTCAACAATGAAATCAACATAAAATTACATCCCTACTCTGGGTGGTGAAGTGGTTTGTGTGCTGGGCAATGACTTTGGAGACCAGGGTTAGATTCTCAGCTCAGCCATGAAAGCCACTGGGTGACCTTGGGTAAGTTGCATGCTCTCAGTCTCAGGGGAAGACAATGACAAACCTTCTCTAACCAAATCTTGCCAAGAAGACCCCATGATAGGTTTGTCTTAGGGTCACTATAAGTCAGAAATGACTTGAAGACATACAACAACAACTCTGGGTGATCTCCCATACTGCCTGGACCAGCTCAGCTGCCACAAAACTAAGAGGAGATTTGCTGATTCCCACAGCAATTGATACACCAGCCACCCTGTCACACAGAGTTTACTTTCCTCTACATCACTTTCATCTCAATATGCAAAATATGTTTCTGTGCATTTTCCTCAATTATGAACATTTTAGCTATTTGCATTTTATTTTAAAATGGGTGCACTGTTTTGAGCACACACTATTTCTCAGAAATCCTCTTTAAGCAATACAGATGTCCAAGATGTGCTTAAGATGACTTGAGTGTATCTTCACACAAAAGTCTTAAAGGCTGTGGAAATGCTACTTTTGTCAAGATGAGTAGAATGACATTATTTTCCTTCCCTAGTCTTAATGGGCTAGCATATTCAAGAAGGAACATCTACTTTCATGTACAATTGTTAGCATCCTTTGGGTAACTGGTTCTCCTCTCCAGATTACATTAATTTTTGCCATTAGACCACTGATTCCCAAACTCTGGCCTTCTAGATGTCTTGGACTTCAGCTCCCAGAAGCC